TCCCAACCGAATACAATAGAGGTTAAAAAATGAACCAAATCGGTCTCAAATGCTTTGCCAAGTCACCTTTTTCCATCGAACCTCTATAAATTTTAGCTCAATGAAACCGTCTTCACCAATTGAAAATCAAATGCTCTAAAAATAAACACAACAATTCCAATGAAAGACAAACACTTGTTAGATGATCTTTTTTAGGTAAAATATCACAAAAGATTAAGGATTTGGTGGAACAACTATTTTTGATAAGTTTCAAAAAAATTAAAAATAAAGAAAGAAGTTTATTCTTAAACATATTAATATATATCACTGTTCCTCTGGTCCATAATGGTATCTAGATTTTAAACGAAAGTCAATTAAAACATTTTCATAAAAGCCAGACAAAACCAAACCGAACAAAAATTACAGGAGAGAAAAAGAAGGTAAAAAAAAAGAGGAAACAGAATAAAAATCTCTCTTGGGCATTTCATCGAACACTTTGAAGGCATACTCCCACGCGAATCAGAAAACTAAACGGAATCTTCATTGACCTGAACAAGATTCTCTAATTCTTCTCTCTTCATTTTTTCCTTCTCGTATTGCCTTAAAGCTTCCTCCATCCTCATCTGCGTCAAATCCAAGTGTACACAAAAATACCACCACACAGTCTTAAGATCGAGCACAAGCTTTCTCAGATCAAGACAGAGATAAAAAAGAAGAAGAAAAAGAAACTGACCTTGTAGCTAACTTCGATTCGATGCATTACGTAGAATCCAAGAGTCCCACCGACAAGTGTTCCTGCTATGATCCGTGCGTAACCCCATGTCATCGAGCTCAACCCCATTTCCTCTCTTTTTCCTTTGACAAGCCTCGACGTTTACAACTCTCAAGATCTCCTTTTCACTTACCGGAATCAAATAGGAGCCGTACCAATTAATTCGGTTCACTCCTTTTCGGTAAGGAATTTTTGTTGGTACGTCTCAAACCGAGGTCATATCCGGTTCGGTTCAGATCAAGAATAACTAAACCATGATAGAAAGTGAAACAATTTTGGAATCAAAAGAAAAACTGAAAGAAGATTCTGATTCGGTATGATACAGTAATGACCGGGTAATTTCGGTTCGGTTATAATTGTAGACGAAAATAAGCTGGTTTTACATGACATTTAACCGTTCGGTTCAAAGAAAAATTCGGAAACAAGTGCCAAGTGATCGCTTCCCAGTTCCTGCAAAACCAAAGGATAAAGCATTAGGCACTGTGTAAGACACAAAACCAAATTTCAACAAACTTAAAAACGGTTTTATAAAACATACTTGACAAGGAAGGCCTCTGGTTTTGCAGAGAACGTCAATGGGAAGTGTATCAAGAACTCTTGCAGGTACAAGACCATCTGAGTACCTGAACCAGATACACGTGTGTTTCCAATTAGTTCATTAGCCAACTGTTGAATTTTGTCGATTTAGTTTTGTTTAAAACAGTTTTACCAGAGGTAATCAACCGTTCCTAGAAATTTCGAGTGATACGAGGTCGCTAAAGGTTCACCAACACAGTCCCTTGTATTTGATGAGCCCTATTGTGTACCATGAACATGTTCATATTTAGCTGTTTGTTTCACTAGTTCTTGTCATATATAGACAAAAAAAGCTTTGTGTTTGTTACCTTAACTGAGGCGTATGAGCTCTGAAGTTTCAGCGGATGCACAGCCCAGTACGAGTTCTCTTGCCCGGTGGCGACACGGATCTCTTCGTTGGTCCAAGAGCTACTTAAGCATCTGAAACCAATGAGTATTGAAAACTATTTTAAGTTGTAATAATTGCGGTTATGAGGCAAACCCTCAACCACAACTGAACAGACAATGGCTTTTTCACCAGGCAATAATCAATAAGACAACCACAACTGCAGACCTAATCAAATCTTAAAAGATAATCTTACCTGTTTACGGAAGTGATCACATTGCTAGATTTGTTTCCGGCCTCAAGAACTTGTGTTGGGTGACAATTCCTCTGGCCAGATAGCTCTCTTCTGTCATGTTCCATGATATTCAGCTGTAAGATCGAAACACAAACCGAATTAAAGAGACCATAAGCAGACAAGTGTGTAGTTCGACTGAATCAAGACTTTAACTGGTCACACCTCAGAGGACGTCAAGAAGTTGTACAATGGACTCTGCACATGATTTGATTAACATGAACAATGAGATAAATATACAATACCAAAGGGGATGTGTTTTTATGCAAAACGATATGTACCTGGGGAGTGCAATTGAAATCCCCGGCGAGAACAATGGGAATGTCACCCCATTTCTTAGAGAGCAAGTGAGCCTTTGAGCAGATTGAACGGATCTATCAGTCAAGAACAAGTCATACAAACAAATCAGGAACTCTGAAAAAACATAAAGCTACGCATTCCTGACTGAGATTCAGTATGTTTTGGACACAGACATGTCTTATTCACTTATATATTTGTCAAGAAATGTTCACCCCCTTCACTAGTTTAAGTAACAAACTCCACGAAAAAAAAATGAATCTGCTAAAGAGAACCCATGAAGTATCAAAAGCCACAGGACTCAATCAACCTTATGTGTAAAGTTAAATTCAAGACTGTCAACTGCTTGTGTAGTGTATTTACCAATTAAAATGTCGAGACTTACCTGGCCTAGCTTCACATCGCCTCTACTTGGATTATAAAGCACGTGAATGTTACCGAGAACTAGCTTTCTTGACTTAGACTTCCGTAGCTGACAGTAACCCAAAAAACAGGATCAATCAAGGAAATCACCTAAGCATATATGTGAACACATTCAAATAGAATTGCTACCGCGAGAACAGAAAGTTGTGCAACATTATCGCGCATCCCAAACTGGCTAAACTCAATGTTTTCCCTCTCCAAGACCCGAAACCTTGTCAAAAGAAGATATTTATTGGAAAAAAAATACGGAATTGATTTTGTGTCTTTCTTCACACTGATACAGCTTGAGTCAAACAAGCTTTGCTACCTGTCTGCCTTCCAAAACATTGCGCATCCATCAATGTTATCTCCAGTTCGCCGCTGCCATTGCAAAGCTTATATTTGTAGTCCTTCAATAGAAACACAACTTTGCTGAAGCTTCAGACAAAGGGTAAATGAAACCAACCAACAATGTTTTACATGTCATCCCATTCATTTTTTATAAAAGCATAGCAAATTTCATTGATACGGTACACAAAGAAATACATCAACCTTGTACGAGCCAGCATATCCAGCTTTTGCCATCATGCAGAATAGATCAAAATACTTGTCTACTTCCTACAAGAATCCCCAAAACAGCATCAACATAACTTTTTTAACCAACAAAACAAGGAGCCTTAAGAAAAACAAGGAAAGTCTGTGACCTGCAGACAGATGATGTCTGGTTTGAGACGTATCAGTTCCTCGCATATCAACCTTTTGCGGTAGCCCCATTTCAGGTAAGGAAAAGTCACATTGGAGTACAAATCTCTGTGATACGATGAATTTCTATCTCCAAGTATGTTGTACGACACTACAGTGAATCTCTCTGACGCTATTATCACATAGAGACACTAGTAAGAACAAAAACTTCCGCGTATGCACATGTTTCATGTAAAAACAGAAACTTTGGAAACTCCCATAAATACTAAACTAAACCCTAATCGTTCCCCAAAGCTTGGAATTCATAAATCTTACAATATAACATTTCATGAGTAAGAATCAGACGATTCCATAAGAACCCAATCTCATACTTACCTTCCGGAACTGGAGACGTATCCGAATCGATCCAGTCACGGGGAATCCGAGAAGTCGGCATTTGATCGGAATGTCGACGCCGAGGAAGGGGATTGTACCATCGACGGCTATAAGAGCGATTCGACGATGATTCAAGATTCGAATCGGACGGTCCAGATGCGGAGGAGCAAGACACGACGAAGTTGGCATCGCAAGAGGAAAGGGAAATTCGACACGATAAAGGATATCGATGGAATCCAGACGAAATGTGACCACTGAAGGAGATTCGGAGAGCTACGCTTGGCCGTGACCAAGAAGAACCGACGCAAGTCATTTGATTTTGTGGAGATTTGAGAAGAAATTGAAAACCACACAGAGTACTTGGCGCCATACGCTTCGGATAATATCCAAATTTTTCTTACATCTCCGTAGGCCCATTAAAATATACTACGATATTGAGCCCATTTTTCTTACATATCCACTGAAATATATTGTGTTGACACTTTATGATTGCAGAGTATTCTCCAAAAATTTTGTAAAATTCAAAGTTCTTCCTAAACAACCGAAAATTCTTTCTAAACTTATTTTTACGAAGGTTTATTACTTGTTTAGTAAGACTATCCTACACAAATGAAAATCTTTCTTAAACTTATTTCTAAAAAGATTTCCAACTTGTTTAGAAACATGTTTAGTAAAGATCTTTCCTAAACTTTTTTTTTCTTATTTGTTTAGGAATGTGTTTAAGGTGGTCATCCTAAACAAGTGAAGATCCTTCCTAAACTTAATTTTAGGAAGGTTTCATACTTGTTTAGGAAGTTGTCTATGAAGACCTTCATAAACAAGTGAAAATCTTTCTTAAAATTTTTTTAAGAAGGTTTCTTACTTGTTTAGAAAGGTGTTTAGGAAGAATTTCATACACAACTGAAAATCCTTCCTAAACTTATTTTTAAAAAAGTTTCCTACTTGTTTAGTAAGACCTTCCTAAACAAGTGAAAATCCTTCCTAGAATTTTTTCAAGAAGGTTTTCTATTTGTTTAAAAAAGTGTTTAGGAAGGTCTTCCTAAACAAATGAAAATCCTTCATAAATTTATTTTTAAAAAAGTTTCCTACTTGTTTAGGAAGGTGTTTAGGAAGGCCTTCATAAACAAGTGAAAATCCTAAACTTATTTTTAGGAAGGTTTCCTACTAGTTTATGAATGTGTTTAGGAAGATGTTTTAGAAGGCCTTCCTAAATGAGTGAAAATTTTTCTTAAACTTTTTTTAAAAAGATTTCTTACTTGTTTAGGAAGGTATTTAAGAAGGCATTCCTAAAAAAGTGAAAATCATTTATAAACTTTTTTCAAAAACGCCTAGTGCCTAGAACACCTAATCGGAACCTAGACGATTTAATAGACGGTCTAAGCGTCTTACAAAAATACATAATATATTAGATATATATAGCAAAATATATAAAAACCATCATTTATAAATAATAAAATTTATATTATATTTATATTTATCATTTTATAGCCAAATATATAGAGTATTACGATTTATATATAAGAAAATTTATATTATTTTAATATTATCATATCTTAATAGTTTAGGCGGTATAGGCATTAATCTCCACGGTCAATGGGAGTATAGCGCCTAGGCGAACGCCTAAAACGCTTTTTAGAACACTGGTAAAATTACATAAAAAGGTTATAAAACATTTAATAAAACATAATCATTTGACATAAAAGTTACCCTAACTATTCGAAACTTGTTCTTGTACAAGCATTTGACGGTGCCATACTGATTTTTCCTAGCATGCTTTAGTATAAAATGGTACAGTCACCCTAACTGGAGCATCGATAATAATGTCTGTTCGTTTCTTTTTCTGCAGTCTTGCCTTTGACAAAGGAAAACTCCATTATTGCGTATACATTATAATGTTCTTAAAAGTTTTACAGTATTATAAAAGAATACTACTAGTATAAACGAATCATGAAAACAAACAAAATTAATGAAGCATATGGATAAATTTTAAAAGTATGGGATATAAACCGTTAAGTGATTTAAGATGGCTAATAAAATCTTATTTGGGAAAAAAGTTTAGACTATAGAGTGGG